GTGCTCCCTAGTGCGTGTGTGCTCCCTAGTGCGTGTGTGCTCCCTAGCTCGGAGGCTGGAGATCTACAGCTGCCACTTTGATCTTGCTTCTGAATGGCATCCCCACAAAAGAGAACCAGGACTTCTGGAGGCAGTGGGGCATGAAGATTCCTTGGTTGAGGCAAGGAAGGAATAAGATGAGCTTGGGATGTCTTGTCACACTAAAAAGTAAAGAATTAGTATTTTTTGAAAAACTTATTTCAGTGATTTTATCACAGAAGTGAGTGTTCTAAAGCTTCGCTGACCAGACTGGGGAAATTTCAGTATCAAAATAAATAAGGATAGTAGTGGACTGTAACTCACTGAATGACATAATAATCCATAATAAATAGATTGATTATAAGTAACTAAATCAATGAGACAAAGCTGTTTCTTAGGAGAATGCCTCCTAATAGGTATAGGAGGCTGGCAAAGCTTGAAAACCACCGTTTGTAACTCTTAAGTATTAGTTCTGGCAAAGCCAATGAATGTCCCAACCAAGGAGTGAGATGTAGTAAATATAATAGACGGTTTTTATAGGCTCAAAGTAATCCCTTCCTAAATCAGTTGTAAGTACAAGATGGTGATAACTGGTCGACCCCCATCTTATGATCAACCCTCATCTCAAAATGGCTCTAAAATATCGCCCATTATCCCTGTTCCAAAACATGAGGATACAGAACCAAGTCCAAATTCAGAAATATTCTGTAAAATAATTGGCCATGAAAGTGTTTTGCTACCAATACAGTCTTGGGAAAAGCAATACAGTTTTGATAAGGTCTGCAATTAGACAATTTATAGAAATACTAAAATTCATTATTGAATTGATATTGATAAGATAGTGAACAGATCACTGAATACTTAGATGTAAAAGTCTACTCTCAAGTATACTGAAAAAATAAAGTAGGGCTTCTGGGAGAACTCGCATAAAGGGCTTGCTGTGCACTGATGCCCTGAGTTTGATTCCCAATTGTTCATAAAGTGGAAGAAGAGAACTAGCTCCCTCCACAAAGTTGTCCTCTGGCCTCACACATGCATATGCATACACACCATACACACACACGCACACACAATAATAAATCAATATAATAACTAAATATACCCATCCATATGCCTAACTTATCTAGAGAGAATAGTTAATATATAAACTTTCAGCCACTAATTCATCTAGAAAAAGGGTCAATGGGAGTTCCTTTATACTGTTTTTTTAACTTTTATATAAGTTTGAAATTTTTAAAATTTTATTATTATTGTATGTATGTGAGAGTGTGCTTGCATGTGCATGTGCCGTGAAGGATGTGTGAAGGCCAGAGGACAAGTTTCTGGAGTTGGTTTTCTCCTTCCTCCTCTAGGTTCCCATGATTGAACTGTCTCAGCAATTGCTTTTACTAGCTGAGCCATCTTACTGCCCCAAAATGCAGAGTTGCGGAGCCCAGGCCCAGTGGGTACATCTACAAAACACTCCCCTACCTACGGTTCAGGGAATGTTGTAGGAAATGGGCAGAAAGGCTGTAAGAGCTAGAGAATTTGGAAGTTTGCTTTGAGATTGTGTCTCCTAACAATGTCAGAAGCTACACCCATAAAGTCCTACCCACACAACTGTGAGCTGGACAAGGAAGGATGACAGCAACGAACATGCCAAACTAGATGGGGAGAGCCCCACAAGGCCTCAGCCCTACCCAGAGAGCCACAGGCAACTGAGTGAAGAACCAACAATTCATTGTCCAATGCTAAACGGTCAATCCTGGAAACATATATACAGGTAGCATTATACAGATCTAATGGATTATAATTAGGATTCAGTACAATAACAATTAGTTACAAAAGAGGCTTTGAATTCGAAACAGATCAGGAAGGGGTAGGCGAGAAGTTAAATTATAATCTCAAAAATAAAAGAGAGGAAAACAAGATAGCTAACTATGAACCTGGGAATAAGCATTCCTCTGTTGTTTCCACTTCAAACTCCTCCCTGGAGGTCCTGCCTTGATGAGTGTAACCTGAAGATGAAATAAAGCCTCTCCCAAAATAAAAAATAATAAATAAATTGGTACTCACTAACTATGTAATACCATAGAAGAAGAGTGTAAGGTCACCAGAACTTCCACTGACCCATTAGGATTCTTGCTAGTTCAATTTGGCCAATGTCATGTTTTTTGCAATCTGAGTAGATTCTGGTAACCAAGTGCTCTCATCTTCTTAAGAGTGTCTCTCGATACTTTGATCAAATATGTGTGAATAGCCCTTCCCTGAGCTGAGAGATGATTCATCCTTTCCAAGAATGTTTGTGCTGAGATGAAACAGATGAGAGGGAGATACTTAGCTGAAATAATCGTTTTATAGTCAATGCCTTTGGAGGAAAAAATTCGTTATTTCAAATGACGACTTGGCTGAATAACTGTGTTCGTTTTGGCATTTGACCAAAATCCCTTTGTTTACAATTCAAGAAGCAAGTTCAAAGCCTCAATAAAATAAAAAGCATAAGAGAACTAATGGAACTCTGGGGGCAAGTGAAAAATGTATATCTCTGTCTTAAAGGAATTTTAAGTTATTTTCTTAATTAAAACCATAGGGTCTATGTACCAGTTTGTACCATGCACTGCCATCTTACATTTCCTGGGTTATGGAATCCCAGCTAGAAAATAATATGACATAAGAAAACATTCTGCTATTTAATATATAGCTAGACATAGAAAAGCTATCCAGACTTTTTATTCTTTAACTTAATGTTTACTACTTGCAGGTGAGTTTTGCATAATAACTCAAATATATACCATGTGGTAAGAGAATCTTGGGTTAGTAGCATAGCTGCATTCAGGGTTCCTGCCTTGGTTTAGAGGCAGGACTTTGGACAGGTTGCAGTAGTCTACTATTCCTGGGGTGTGTTCCATTGCAGGTAGTTCTGAACTCAGTATATACTGTGTGTTTCCCTCTATATACAGCCTGTGTTAGGGTTTATTTTAAATTAGCTACATTGAGAGATTAACACCAATGTCTAGTGATGAAATAGCACTTAAAATACTATCACAACGTTGCTCTCATAACTACTCTTGCATAGTGTTAAGAGTCACTTGAACACAGACACAGCGATATTGTGGCAGTCTATCTGGTAACCCACACAGCTACCAAATGACTGATAGATAGTGTATATAGCAGGTATGCTGTCTCTTGGATGACTTATAGCCTAGATGATCACCATGAGATTCTATCATGCTACTCATAACTTATGGTAGTTAATTTCTAGAATTGTCCATTTAGCATTTTCTGGGACTGTGGGTTGACTGTGGGCAACTGAAATCACAAAATAGCAAAACTGTACGAGAGAGGCTATGCACCCTATGTGAGCTCTGTTTCCCTCCTCTGGTAAAGGAAGGGGTAGACAAGACAGAGGCAGCCAAAACACCATATTGCAGGCATTCCTCTTCACTCCCCATGCATATGAGTAGACCTCTTTCTAGGACAGGGACACTATTGTCCGCTGACACCCAACTTCTTTCACACTTTAGATGCACAGATCTAGTAACCCATACACATTGCTTGGAGCTTGGATGGGACAAAGCATGCTTGCTATCTGTCAGCTTATCTTTGGGAGCCCGTGAGGTGTACAGTCTGCTCAGCCATACTATGTTTTTGCTTGTTTGTTTTGTTGTTGTTGTTTGTTGTTTTTTAAAGACAGGGTTTCTTGTGTAGTTTTGGTGCCTGTTCTGGAACTAGCTCTTGTACACCAGGCTGGCCTTGAACTCACAGAGGTCCGCCTGCCTCTGCCTCCCGAGTGCTGGGATTAAAGGCGTGCGCCACCACCGCGTGTCACCACTGCCCAGCTCCCATACCGTGTTTTTAAAGCTCAAGGGAATCCCCTGCGTCTCTTATTCTTTGATACCCTCAAGTAGCCAAACAAGTCTCATAGATACTATTCCTTCCCCACCTAGAGCCTCTCCTTGATTTATTAATTTCCAAAACAAATTGTGAACGAATGATCATTCTACTTTTATTGCAGGCTTTCTGGCCCAGAAATGAGACCACCCTGTGGGCTTCTTTTACCAATGTCCTTCCGGCTTCTAGGGAATTACTGTCCAAGTGCTAGGGAGCATGAATGTTACAACTCTGAGTCTTTTGTTCATATTGGGCTTCTTTGTATCTTATCTGTGGTTGCAATAATTCAATTGGATACTTTAAACTACCATTAATTGCTAGAATGAGAAGGGATGGGCAAGGAAGGGGGCTGAAAGAGAGATATGGTCAGTTTGCACTTCAAGCGGGACTATTGACTGACTTGCATGTGTGCATTTCCACACGGTCTACAGACTGTCCTGCATGTGCACAGATGTGTGGACATTGAATGCAGGGCCATTTCCTGTCCTTCTTCTCTTTAACCCTGAGGGGTCCCTTCTCCCCCAACCACACTTTTCTCTTCTCTAAGCTGTTAGGATGGTCAGGATAGGTCTCAGCATTAAGAACATGCAAAACTTCATTCTTAAAAATTATTCCTTTTTTGCCGTTTATTAATTACATTCATCAATTACACAACCTTTGCAAAGTCTGGAGGTCCAGCCTTAAGAAGAAAATATGGCAACTGTTTTGGAAAGATACTTGCTAAACTTGCAAATCACTATTAACTTTTTTTTATGACTGCCTAACACCCTCCTACGTACAGCCGCTGACGTATGAAATGGGGGAGGTGAATGTTTCCTGCAGCACTATCATGGAAATTTTCCCACTTTGATGAAAGTAGAAAGCACAATAGAAAGCAAACCCTGAAGCTCCACTTCAACAGTTACCCGTATTATGCCAACTCTTGCTTCATTTTTTTTTTTTAATTCTCCTGGAAATGATCATGGCGTTCCTTTTGAGTTTGAAAGCACTGGTAGAAACAGAGAACCAACACGTGATTTTCCAGCGTCATCTTTTATAAATAAGCGATGGAGTTTGCAAGCTGTGACACATGACACATGACTTGTTTTTGGCTTCCAGGTGGTACAATAAAAACATCAGCCGAGACAAAGCCGAAAAGCTTCTCTTGGACACGGTGAGTCTCCTTCATCTGTCTACGGACTATAAATGTGCGGTTGTACGGTTTCCAGCCATGCTGTGGTTCTGCTGCTGTCGTAGATTCCTGAGTTGACCTACAAAGGCTTTCATGTCTGAGGACTATCAGTGTCAGAAGGCACAGGAGAGGAAACTTGGGGAGGCAGCAGGTCTCTGCGAACAGTTGCCGCCAAGTGACTTGGCTCAGAGTGGCCTCAGGGCTGCCCCGCTTTGCCTTGTCTGAGGATCAGCTACTGCCTGAAGGGGCTGTAGTTTACAGGAATCGGACAGTTTTCACCCACAGTGTCTTGTCCGAGACCATGCAGTCTGGCAGAGGGACCGACCTCTCCCTGGGATCTCAGAGTTCAGGGAAAGAAGGATGAGAAGAAAGGAACATAATGGGTGGGATGGGTACCTCTGTTCTGCCATCAACTGAGCAGGTGGCTGTAGGGATTTCTCCTCTGCCTTCTGCACCCTATTTGTCAGTAAGGACAAATTGAGCATCGGAGTATGTCCGGGTGCCAATGACCTGTTACCCCCATGGATGCTACCCCTGTGCGCTCCTGACCCTGCACACACAGTCACTGCCATTGCACCTGGGCTCCACTGGCAGCCAAGGTTCAGTGGAGAGTTAGAGGCAAGAGGAAGGGAGACCCAGATCAGCGAGTTGGAAAGCGTTCCCCTCTCTGGGGCGGGGGGATGGGGGGGAGACCTGAGCTGAGTCCTTTCTGGATGCTTGTTTCTTCTTGGTTCTCATCAATTAACCATTTCCTGTGGTTCCCAACAGACCTCATGCTACAGGTGTTTAAAGTGCAGATTCTCAAGGGGGCTGTGGGATGCCTTAATGGGTATAGGATCTTGCCATCAAGACCAACAACCTGAGTTCAGTACCCAGGACCTGAATGGTGGAGAGAAAGACCTGACTCCCACAGTTGTCCTCTGACCGCCACATGCATACCATGGTACATACATTCCCCCCCCCTCGCCACACACACAATAAATAAATGTAACAAAAAATACAGATTCTAAGATTCCATGGTAGATCTGCAGAAACAAGACTTTCAAAAGCAATTCTCAGAAACCATTTTTTTTAAGGCCAGGTTTCTCTGTGTAGCCTTGGCTGTCCTGGAACTCACTTTGTAGATCAAACTGACCCCAAACTCACAGAGATTCACCTATCTCTGCATCCCAAGTGCTGGGATTAAAAGGGTGTGTCACCACCGCCTGGCTCATATATTTTCTTGATGGGTTTAGGATGCCAGCTCATCTCATTCCTCAGCCTGTAATACTGATAAACAGTAAAACTTGAGTCATAAGAACTAGCTACAATGAGCACACGACTAAGTCCCTGCATTGTGCTGTTTAAATGAGGGCATTTTCATTACATCCTGCCGCATCCGTAGCAAAGGCAGTGGAGTGCTTTAAGCAGCCCACATTAATTACAAACAGAAGCAATCCTGTAGTTGAGCAGTATTTTTTGAGGTATTTAAACATATTTGCTTGCCCATGCAGTTGAGACATTCTTGCTAATACATTAAATACACTTACCAAATTCTCTCTTCCTTCTTAGGGAAGTGTGAAGGCAAATTTCAGAGGGCCCCTCCCTGCTTTAGTTAGAATGGGATAAGGTGTTCTTTATTTTTCTATGTGCTTGCTTTCTGACTCAACAGTGTTGTTCCCCCACTGTACTCCGTCTTCTTGTCTATCAAGTATCTGACTCGGAAGAGGTGTGTTATGTTCATTTCCCTGTTATTAACTAAAGCGTCCACGTTATAGAGTATGTATATGATTGGCATGTGCATATGTGTGTATCTATATTTCTCCATTTTATTTTGTCCCTACTGTGCTTCACTACCCCAAACTGTATCTAGGACAAAGTAGTTACTCAGAAGCTACTTGCTGCATCAGTGAGTTCACCGAATGCTTGCTCTGTGTTTTTAAGCTAGTATCCATATCTAGGAACTTAGCTGATCACGCATATCCTTGGGGAAACTTAGAAATACAAACTCAGGCCTAAAGACATGACTCGATGGCTAAGGATACTTCCTGTCCTTGCAGAAGATCCAGGTTCAATTCCCAGCCCCCGTATGACTGGTCACAGGGCCTCTGCGGGCTTCTGTATAGAAACTCATGCAAGAGCATGCTCATAAACATTAAAAAAAATAAAATAAAACATCAACACCCCCTCCCAAAATAAAACTTCTGAACTCCAGTCCTATCCAGTCAGACCCTCTCCAGGGGCCACTCAAGTGATTAGGAGCATGGGAAAGAATCTCCTGCGTGTTCTCTCAGGTCTTCAGCTGACACCTTCTTTAATAATCCAGTCCCCTGCCTAGCCATGAGATGGAATTGTTTCTCCTCTTGGTCAAACATTAAGGTGTAATGTCACTTCTCCAGTGGTTCTGTCTGCACTCGGCCTTCAAACTCAGCCTTTCCCCCAGCCTTAGCCCATCTAGAGAGAGAACCGATTCCTTGTGAACAGGTATTCCATAACTATCTTCATGCCAAAGGCAGCATCTCACTTTAGACAGGAGCCGAACCTAGGTTTACCTGTGCCTCCAAGATGCCATCAAAGAAAGATGCAGTGTTGACTGAATAACGGGTTTGTTTTGAGGGAAGACCCCCCCACACACACACACAGAATGAAAGATATATGTTAGAGACATTCTTAAAGCATTCTTGGGCATGACAAGACCACAAAGCATCAGCCTGTCTCTGACAATAACATACTTTCGCTTTGAGTTTACCTTTTATAAAGTCACCTTCAAATCCTATGGACAGAAAGACGCACACACCAAACATGTCTCAGATGAAGACAATGTAATTCATGCTTCCAACAGATGCTGTGCCCAGCATGTGGTAATAATGGGAACTAATAACCCTAATAGTCCATCCACATCCAGGAACTGTTCTGGGCTTGATGTTCAAGTCTCCCAATAGCCTTGAAAAGGTCATTTTCCAGGTGAGGAAACTGACATGTATACTTCTAATAAGAAACATTTGGAATTATCAATACTACAAGCTGCTGTAGCTAGAATTCCCTTTAAAGACCACCTGGCCCATCACCTTTGTATTAAAGGCTGATAAACTGGGGCCACATTCAGAAAGCCAGTCAGTGGCACGGTCTCACCATATCTTCAGCTAGACAGATAATCTAAGGTACATGACTTACTATTTCCTCCTACCCCACCGGGGTCATACACATGCTTCACCTCTTGAAATCGTCTTTTCTATTCTTCCCGTTGTATTTTCCTAAGTGAAGCAATAAAAAGCAAACTGAGATCTTGAGTGTGTTGAGAGGAAGTGAAGCCCCATCTGGCAACATGATACCAGTCAGTACCCCATGCAACACTCTTGTATGGCGGTGTGGCTGTGACACCCTCTCGGCTCCTTGCAGGAAGTGTGTGGTAAGGCGCATGCTTTCCTCAAGAACTCTTAGCTACTTCAGCTCCGGTGAGAGCCCGTGGCGCTTTCACCAAAAGCCACCTACAGCAGCAACAGTGGAGAAGGAGTGTTGGAGGGAAGCAGAGCCTGCCCTGCTCTGCAGACCTCACGTGACCTCACCTCTCCTTCCCCTGGTGTTTACAGAGGGCTTCCTCTCCATAGCTGCTCAGGACTGCTATAATCACAGTTCGTTTACAGAAAAACAGTCGCTTCTTTGAAAGAGTCACACCAACGCAAACAACCAGGCATTATTAATTAGATAAAAGAAAAGTTTGTACTCTTCAGAGAGTCAGTAAGCTTCTACTCTTTTGGTCTGTTTCTTTCTTTAGAATAAATGACATAACCAGATAAAATCTGCCTCTTCTTGAAGTCTGTGTCTTCCTGTCTCAGGTTTAACCCATCACATTCCAAGCAGCCGCAATCCAAAGCTGCACTGTTAGGCAAACGGTCAAAACTGAAGACAATTTCTCCTGCCTCCCATGTATGGATAATACCACAAGGAACTTGTTAAGCAAAATAACCCAGACATAAAGTCTCTGCTCCCAGCAGCTAGAAGGTGACTATCAGCTGATGAATGGAAAACACGTGTGGTCTGTCCCTACACTCGACTGTCACTCAGCCACAAGTAGGAGTGAAGTCTTTATACCTGTCACCACCTAGGTGGGCCTTGGAAACAGTGTCATAAATGACAGGACCCACTCACAGAAAACCACATATGATTCCATTTACAAAAAAGTCTACAATAGGCAAATCTGTAGTCAGAATGCTTATTAGAATGCATATCTGCTTCCTTTCTCTGTCTCTTTCTCCCTCCCTTTTTGTGCGTGCGTGCGTGCATGCGTGTGTGTGTGTGTTCATGTGTTCATACAAAAATTCTCCTTTGGGACTGAAGGATGGAGAGGCTTCTGTCATTCTACTTTCCCTGTTGTCTGTGTATATAAACCACAAGACTTCCATGCAAGGTTCCTGTCCAGTTCTGACCTTCACTTGCGACCCTCAAGATGTCTAATTTAAGTAAGTCATAATTACCAAGTGCCGCAGATGTTTATGACTGGCAGGAGAAGAGCTGAGAGTGCGGTTCTTAAAACAGTTCCGGTTTTTCAGCTCCCATAAGGAACGTATGAACTGGCATGCCCATGCCCATTTGCTCCTGCTGATTCCTCAGAGTGGGCAAAATTGTCAGGCACTTCTCTCTCCACCTCTCCCCCGGCACTAGCCTCCCGCCCTTTCTCCTCAGCCCTTCAGTGAAATGAGCATTGTGGAAGGGACCTGAGAAGTAAAGCTCTGCCCTGGGACTTAGCAAGCTTCAGGGATAGGTTTTGTCCTCCAGCAGGTGTAGAAGATGTTGGAGCATCATGGAGCAAGAACAGGTCATGGCGCCAAAGGTCAAGCTCCAACCCCATTGCTCTCTGGCTGCAGACCCAGGGGAAAGCCACCTACTCCCCCTGTCACTCACTTTGCTGTCCTTGTTGTCAAAGGGGATAATGGCGTCCAGACTGGACTCGGGCATTGTGGAAAGGGTTGGGAAAAGGCTGATGGATCCAGTGCCTGGTGAACAGTGAGAGAGGGCGTGTATCTGCCTACCTGTGTAGGACTTGACATGAACAACTGTCAGAAGTGTAATTGAGATGGTGGCTGCTACAGCTGAAGGTCTGCTCAGTGCCGCTCAGTGCTTCCTCCTTCCACGAGCAAGAGGAAGGAGCCGGGTGCCAGAGCCTGGTTTTCGAGATCACTAAACTTTCACACTTTCTACCTCATCCAGGGTAAAGAAGGAGCGTTCCTGGTCCGAGATTCCAGGACACCCGGAACATACACAGTCTCTGTGTTCACCAAGGCCATCATCAGGTATGGCACACACTTGGCTCCGAAGAGGGACAGCTGCTTTTGTTTGACGGTTTAGGTGCAGCAAGCTCCACCCATGCATCGTGCAGAGCTTACTGGCGGTGGTGTGGCTTCTGCCAGCGCCCCTGTGAACATAAAGCCCAGAGTTCAAGGGCAGAACTGAAGAGATTTAATAAAAGGCAGAGCTGGGCAGACACGGAATCCTCTTCTTGGCTATGGCCAGGCCCAGTGGCAGAGCTCTGAAGACATCAGATACTTGCCCCTGTATTTGGTGAGCATGTCAGTTAACATAGAATGAAAGGGTTGTCATCTAGAAGAGGAAATAGCCAAATGCCAATTCTTGGTCTACTAGTGAAATTACCTACTCTATTGAGAGTTGACAACCCTGTGTGCTAGAGGGATGTGTGTGTGTATGTATGTGTGTGTGCTTGTGTGTATGTATTGTGTGTGTGTGTGTGCTATGTCTAGACTCCACATATGAGAAAAAGCACTCGGTGCTTGCCTTTCTGAGTCTGGATTATTTTGTTTAACATAATAATTTCCAGTTCCATCTATTCACTTGTGAATAATTTAGTTTCTTCTTTTTAATAGCTAGATAAAATTTCAGCGTATATACGAACCACATTTTCTTAATCCACTCCTCTATTGCAGAGCATCTGTGCTGACTCTGTATCTTGACTGTTGTAAATAGTGCAGCCATAGACATGCGTGGTCAAAAACCCCTATGCTATTCTGGCTCAGTGTTCTTCTGGTACACTCCCAAGAGTGGTGTGGCTGGAACACATGGTAGTTCTATCTTTAGTTTTGGAGAAACCTCCATACTAATCTTGATAGCAGCTGCCCTAGTTTGTGTTCCCATCAGCAGGGTTCTCCCAAACACACGTGCACATACACACACACACACACACACACACACATAACTCTCACGCACACACACATAACTCACACCTCACCGGCATCTGCCATCAGTTTGCTTGATGCCAGCCATTCAGCCTAGGATGGGATGGAGGACCCCAGCGTGGTTTCCATTTGCACTCACGGCACAAACAGTGCTGTTTCCACATTCTGTGGCTGTGGATGAAGCACATCTCAGCACTATTGCCTCTTACATTCAGATGCAGCCTCAGTGTGCTTAAAACAACATCAGCACCACGACCAGCCTGCCAAGATGGATACACACACTTGAAATAGTGTGTGCCTGTCCTCCTGGCGAGAGCTGCCATCCCAGGACAGTGAGCCTAATGCCAATCGATGTCTTTATGCGTCAGCATTTTGCTTCTTGGTAATGACTGTGTGTTCGTTTGTTTTAAGTGAGAACCCATGTATAAAACATTATCATATCAAAGAAACAAATGACAACCCGAAGCGGTTCTATGTGGCTGAGAAGTACGTGTTTGACTCCATCCCTCTCCTCATCAAGTATCACCAGTACAATGGAGGAGGTAAGTTCTAGGGGACAGAGCCGGAAGGGGAACCTGACAAGGAGACTAGAGAGAAAGTGACATAGTCCCCACCTGGTTCTTCATGCTGCACAAGCTGGCCATAAAGAGTAACTCAAGATGCAAATAAAAACATAAACAGAAGCAAATAAACCAAGTTCCAAATCCCTAGGATCTCCCTTGCCTACCAGCAGGAACGTCTGCTCTGCAGATCCCCACGGGTCACTATCTGCCAAATGGTTAAGAATCCTCTCAATGGACTGTGTGAAAATCGTGGTGGAACTCTGGAATTTGAAAGTAGCTGTTTCACATAGCATTCTTTCCCTGGAGATTTAACCTAGACAGTTGCTATGGCAAAGCCCTAACCACAGCCTTTGGCTTTTCTGTCAACCTAGGTTTGGTCACCCGACTCCGGTATCCAGTGTGCTCCTGGAGGCAGAAAGCCCCAGTGACAGCAGGCCTGAGATACGGTAAGCAGCTGAAGCGCCCAGACCCAAATGTCTAGGACAAATTCTAAGAAGATTTGCCATTAGCCTGACTGTTCTCCAGGCTTTAGGTGACTTGGAGCAATAGTAGGATAGTGATCATATGCCATTGTGTAAGAAATGTGTGTGTCCACACATCTATGACCAAATCAACGTCCTTTGGCTTTAAACAACAGTTCATTAATGATGCATTTATTGAGCACCTACTTTATACAGAGTACTCTACTAAATGCTATTGGAAAAATCTCAGAAAACAACCTCTAGAACTGTGTTTTCTACTTTCTCGAACTTCTGTTATAATCTAACTTGTTGGCTTTGGGTCTCCTGCAGGGGCTACGAGCTCTTGGCATCTAGAGGTCTTCATATAATAGAATGTTAAGTTGTGAGGTCTGGGCCTTTAACTCAGTAACAGAGCACTTGTGTCTAGCATGAGTCAGGCCCTGAGTTCAATCCCCAGCACCAGGAAAAAAAAAATGTTTGCTTAATGCCTTTAGATAGAACCTGTACCCCGAGGGCCATGGGTCCGACTATGGTGTCTGTCCTCCAAAATGCCTTCCCTTCTTGTTGATCTCCCTATAACCTAAAGGCATTTCAGTTCACATCCCTTGGTCCAAAATGTGCTGTTTGAAGGGGGGGGACTAATCTAATCTTCATTTTGTATCCTTTGGTGCTTCTCAGACTTCAGGGTGCATCAAAATCTTTCCGAACATTTATCAAAAATGCTGGTGCTAGGGCACTCCCTGCTGCTTACCAGAACACCCCTGAGAGTGTGGCCTTAGGGTCTACCTTATTAACACGTGGCCTGGTAATTCTGACCCAGGTGGGCAGGGAAATACTTGGAGAAACGCTGTTATGACTCTTACTATCCAGCCCGCAGCATGTGTGGCAGCCGGGGGTCTATACCTCAGCTTGAGAGGCACGTGACTGTTTCTGGGCCCTGCGTCAGGAAAGCATGACGTATTATCAGCCTCCTTCCGAAAGAAAAGCTACTCTAGTGTTGTTGACTTCCTAAGCGTCCTGCTGGAGGGGGTCACAGAGATTATTTGGTCAGCCCGCTTATTTTATCAGCAGGAAAATGGAGGCCTAGGTCCTTTCACTTGGTTATTAAACACTTCTGAGGAGTCTGTCCGGGGGCTGGAGACATGGCTGGGAAGGTAACCGTACTTACTGTTCCTCCACAAGAGCCAAGTGCATTTCCTGGCACCCACATCTGGTGGCTCACAACGACGTACAACTCCCCTCCAGGAGATCCACTACCCTTTTCCTGGCCTCTGCTGGACCCTGCGTTCATGTGCCTTACACTCACACAGACATACACACATACACATAAGGGAAAAACTAAAAAGAAATCGTTACGGAAAAAAAAAGGACCTGCTAGAAAGAGCTCACTTGTGCCTTTGTGAAGTCCCCTCTGAAGCCACCTCTTCAAGGTCCACTCCGGCCAAATCCTAGCAGAGCGCTGTGAGCACAGAGGGCTCTCAGTGAATCAATGAACAACGAGAAATGCAAATGAAATTTCCTCTGCAAAATTGGCAATAAAAATTTGTAGGCATGGGATGTGTAAGCCTCTGTGTGCTCTGGAGACTGAGGCAGTAGGATTACAAGTTTGAGGCCAGTCTGGGCTAGATGGTGAGTTTCTGGACAGTCTGAGCTACATAATAAGACCCAGTGAGACTCTTATCTGAAGAAAAAAAATACACTTAAAAAATAAAATTAAATAAAATTAAAAGACGGTTGTGACCTTATAATGATTCTTTTATTTACATTCTTTACCATACTTTACATCATCTTCATTTTCCTTCCATGCTCCCCACTCCCACATTATGGCGGTTTTCAAAACATATCCTGGGTTACAGTAATTACCTGTAACAGTCTAACCCATTTTTTGAGGTATGGTAGCCATAGGCTAGCTAGAACTGTATATACTTCTGAGAGTCCTATATCTTATTAATTGCCCTCTCCCTCCCTCCCTCTCTTTCTCTCTTTCTCGTTCCAGGGAAGTGGGTGATCCACCCCTCAGAGCTCACTTTTGTGCAGGAGATTGGCAGTGGGCAATTTGGGCTGGTGCACCTTGGCTACTGGCTCAACAAGGACAAGGTGGCCATCAAGACCATTCAGGAAGGGGCGATGTCAGAAGAGGACTTTATCGAAGAGGCTGAAGTCATGATGTGAGTGAAAGCGGGGGTGTGCGGGCATCCTCTGGGGGAGGCTTTGAGCTGTGTTCACAAAACTCCACTCCGATGTATGATGGGCCCCAGTGGTAGAATCCTACTGCACAGGAAGAAACAACGAGAGAGAGAGAGAGAGAGAGAGAGAGAGAGAGAGAGAGAGAGAGAAGAATCTCATTAGGGCTCAGTTGGTAAAGTGCTGCTACATAACCCCCAAGACCTGAGTTCAATCTACGGAAACCATGTTATAAAAATAAAAATAAAAAAATATGAGAAAAAAATAAAAAAAATTAGCTAGGTGTGGTGACTTGTACTTGGAGTCCCAGTGCTGAAGAGACAGAGATAGGAGAGACAGGCAGATCCCAGGCTTGCTGGCCAGCCTAGCCTAGTTCTGAGTTCTGAGTCAGTGAGATCCTTTTTCACAAAAGGAAAAGATGGGGGCTGGAGAGAGGACTCAGTGGTTAAGAGCACCTGTAGCTCACAACCATCTGTACAGTTCTAAGAGATCGGCACGACACACACGTGGTACACCTGCATACTGCTGCTATAACAGAAAACAAGGCCCTCTAATTAACATGAGCAAAGCTCAGAGGGGCTCACAGTGACTGTGGCGGCAAGCACAGGCCTACATGGGTCTGCACCACATCCTCTGTATATATGCTGTGGCTTCCACATGAGTGTTTTTATGGTATTCCTGGGCGTGCGAACCTCTGATTCTTGTGCCTTTGCTTGGGCCCTTTCCTTCCTGTTTGTGTTTTGTCCAACTTCAATATGTTAGTTTTTGTTTATCTTATTATATTTTAATATTATCTCCTAGTGAAAAACAGAAAGGGAGTGGGCCCTGATGGGAGAGTAGGTACGAAAGAATAGGGAAACTGTAATCAGGATATATTGTGAGAAAAAAAATCTATTTTCAAAAGAAGAAAAAAATTTAAAAAATAAAGATTGACAGTGTCACAAGAACACCCATGGTTAACCCTTGGCCTACACACACACACACACACACATACACACACAAGTACACACACACATACATGGGAAGGGGAGTACACTTGAGCATGATCTAGAAGACCTGCTCTGTGGTCTGGCCCTCCATTTTCCTCTCCTTCCCATCTCTCTTCAGACATGCACTGGCCTCTGTCCATCTTCATTCATTCTACCTGACTCCCTAGCCTCAGCCCTTGGCTCCATGACCATCTTTGGTTTGAGTTTGGAGTTTGTTTCTGTTCTCAGAACCGTGAGCTGGGTACCGTAATATGTTCAGCACTTTTGGAAGACTAAATCTCGGTCATCTCATCTCTTGCCTTTTTGCTTCCAGGAAACTCTCTCATCCCAAACTGGTCCAGCTCTATGGGGTGTGCCTGGAACAAGCCCCCATCTGCCTGGTGTTCGAGTTCATGGAACATGGCTGCCTGTCAGATTACCTGCGAAGTCAGAGGGGGCTCTTTGCGGCAGAGACCCTACTGGGCATGTGCCTGGATGTGTGTGAGGGCATGGCCTACCTGGAAACGGCGTGCTTCATCCACAGAGACCTGGTATGAGCACGTGCACAGAGGCAACACCTGTAAGGACAGACAAAGGAGCATCTTCCCCTGAAATGTAGCACACCAAGACCGAGAGAGAGAGAGAGAGAGAAAGAGAGAGAGAGAGAGAGAGAGAGAGAGAGAGAGAGAGAGAGAGTTCCTAAGTGACATGCCCCATGTGGCTGTCCTTCCTCTCAGCTTCAGGAGGTTCCTAGTAGGGAAGTGTTTCCTGAGTGCTCAGATATGAACTCCTCCTCAGCCCTTCTTCTAACCTACACTCAGCATTTCAGCTCACATTCTTCCAAAGCGGAACTTCCAACCAGTTCTTATTAGCTTCCCAGTGCCTCAGTTTCCTCCTGGAAAAATGAAGGAAATGGGCAAAGACAGTTTTACCTTGTAAAACATGCTGTTTACATTTGTTAATTTACAAAGCAGTGGGTCCCCTTACACCTTTTCCTATGAGTGTGTCATATGATTTGATCGTATTCAGCTCCCCAGTGCCGGTGCCATCTTTTGTCTCTGGCCTTACTGGCTACCCTTCTCCTTCACAAAGAGTTCCGTTCCTACCTGCACATTTTATTTATTTCTTCATCTAGATTCCTTGTATGAGATTATAAAAAACAACAACAACAACACACGCTATTTGTCCTTAAGGGTAGCTATCTCTCTTAACCCGGTGATCCCCAGTCCTGTCCCACTTTCCAGCAACTAAAATCTTCCATCCCTCCTTATGGCTGAGTAAGACCCCCTCCCCCATGTCTGTACATACCACCTTTTCTTTACACCTTCTCTCACTGATGGGCACTTGGGCCTAAGCACAATTTCTCCACTGAAATTGTACTAGATAACCTGAGAGCCAGCCTGGGGACCTCTGATGGTGGGGGGTCATGAATGTGACTCTCCAAGTGAATATGGAGACACTTTTAAGTGTTAGAGCCACCTAGTCTCTTGTCTCCCAGGGCTCTTCCAAGACTACCCTCTGGGATGATGCCAGTGGCCCATTGGCCGGTCCTCCCTTACGTAGGGCAATTTTAAGAGGATTAGCTTCTGAGCACTTTGGTACTGATCACTTGGGAGGCACTGCAGTCAGCCCGTGTCAGCATCGCCTTCCACGTCAGGCTGCATTCCAGTGAACCACTGGCTGGACAGCACTGGATTTCTCTAATAAGTGGGAATGAAGATACAGTTCTCATCCTGGCAAAGGGGGTTGCACATTCAGCTAGCTGGCTGAACTTCCTGCTAGTTCAGCAGCGTTCTGGTGATGCTTGACCTCTGTACGGCTCTGCAGCGCCTTTGTCCAGTAACACAGCAAACACTAACAATGGGAAACTCTTCTGCTACTAGCTAGCCACCCAGAGCTTCATTTCTCTTTTGCCTACCTGTCTCTTCTCTAGGCCGCCAGAAACTGTTTGGTGGGAGAAAACCAAGTCATCAAGGTGTCCGACTTTGGGATGACGAGGTAACACAGGGATGTGGGGTCAGCAGACTCTCAGGAGCGACACTCAGCCCTGGAGTGTTCTGACCTCGTCCTCGCCTCTTCCCAGGTTCGTCCTTGATGATCAATATACCAGCTCTACGGGCACCAAATTCCCAGTGAAGTGGGCATCCCCGGAAGTGTTCTTTTTAAGTCGCTATAGCAGCAAGTCGGATGTGTGGTCGTTTGGTGAGTGTCCTCCTCAGCCCACCCCTGTGCGATCTGGATCTATGGACCACCTGTTTCTTTCTCAAAGGCAAACTATTCGACTTTGTTCTGGGTCCCGAGCGGAGAAAGAGCCTACTGAGGGCCTGTGTGAGGTCAGCCTGGAGTGTTCGAACCGGCTGTAACTATTGCATTTGTTTCTAGAGAGCTTTGAAACAGCTAAGAAATTAAAGATCACAGTGGAGAAAAAGTGTCCCATGGTAGCTTCTGTGAGCTGGTAGGCTGGAGTAGTCCAGAGATTAGGATATGAAGCCTGTGAAAACAGGACCATGCTGTGCCCAGCATCACATTCCCACCCTTGATCCTAGTAAGCATCTGTTCCTCTACAGTCGTCTGCTGAGCCTTCTATTCCAGGGCTACTCAAGGTGCTGAGGAGCAGGAGCACAGGGGTCAGAAGAGACTTCTGTCCTCCTGAAGTGAAACTTTTGAGAAGACAGGCAGCTATCACACAAGCTCGCAGGTAGAAGCTCCAGTCACGCTTGTGTCGGCTCGTGCTAGGGATCAAATACAACAGCAATGGTACAGAGAGTATTTAGGCTGGAGGAAGGGTCTGATTGTCACTAGCATGGTCTGGAAAGGCCTCTCTAGGTGGTGACTCACACAAATGTCTCCATTCAAATATTCATGGTGCTGTGTCCCTGACAGGAACCGGAAAGTGTAAAAACCCCAGCTATGTCCAGAGAGGAGTTACTAAGTTAGTAACTGTTCTAAAGGCATTGGATGGATGGATGGATGGATGGATGGATGGATGGATGGATGGATGGATGG